AAATTTGTTCGGTTTAAAATTTTAAAAACCCATTTTTTTCTTTTTTTGCAAAATTGCGGCTTTATTGCCCCCTTGGCCCCCCCCCCCCCCCATAATAGAAGACCACCTGGTCTTCTATTTTGTCCCGCAAGCCGAGTTCTAAAGGGTGGTCTTCTATTGCAATCAACTTTTGTCGCCTGCTAGCAGTCCAACGGTAACCCCCACGTACTTGAAGACCATCCCCTATTAGAACTACATTTTAAAATATCATTATTGTTTTGTTCACAATTCAAATTTAGGTAAAATTTAAACATTTAACGTTTGGAAATTGGTGAATCTATTAATCAGCTTTATCTGTCTATTAAACTATCTTCTATTTTGATTTATTATTAAATTGTTTTATTCACAGTCGAAATAAACAAAAGTAATTCCGAACAAAAGTAAAAATTCCGAAAGACTGAAAAATATGTCAAACGTTTCACGAAGTTGATTGGAACACCATGAAGTCCACGGAAATCTAACAAAACTTGGAAATTGTCGGTATCATATGTATCGAGCTCAAAACTAAACTAATGCGAAAATCGCTTTTCCCCCCTTAGCTCAAGTGCAGCGAGAGTGCGCAGTGAAAGCGTTAAAGAAGAAAAGAACCCATTTTTGCACAAAATACGGTGAAGATAAGTATAAGATCTTTATGGATATTAGGAGTATTCGCTTCAGCTGAATTTCATAAAAAGATTTCTCTGTAGGTTAAGTAATCGGATTTCAACTGATTGAAAATGTTCGATCTTTCTTCAATACATAAAATAAGTGTTGCTCATTTTCCTTCTGGTGATGTTTAGTTTTCTTTCGTTGAAACTGCCTTCGTATGAGATTAACAAACATAGTAAAATATGGGTATTATACTGCGTGAGCTAGTCTACTAATACAGTAGAACATAAAGCATTCACATAGCTTTATAGCAGTAAAAAAGCAATTTTTATACATTTTTCTCAGAACTTCTGGGTATCCATTATATAGTCGTTTATTTTTTAACATTTAAAATCTTTATGTAGCGAATGATGGTTCTCGATAGTCGAAAGCTTCTACATTTTTAAATAAGATGTGTATTGTTGATCTTATACAAATAATTTTGACCTATTATTGTTACGGGAAGAGTTGACTCAAATGAGTACAAGAAAAGAATTTCTTCTTTCTCCTTTTTTTCGGTTTCCACTTTTATTCTTCACGTTGTGCAAAGTATGCAACATCACTTATGTAGCATACCTAATTGTGTAACGTGTTTGACTCCCATTCAGATCGATCCTAGGTCAGAAAACAGCTATAGATACACGTACGATCAATTCTGTTCATGGGAGATGTGAGTCAGAAAAAAAAGCATTGTTTCAGAAATAAGGTTTTCCTTAACGAAGCGAAAAACCAGTTACTAATATGTAAATAAACTTAAGGCTTGAATATTTTAGTGTTATGAGCAGACCACTAGCACAGTTACAGAAAAAATGTCATGTGTTTTTGCTGAGATACGAAATTGTGTTTCCTTCGACTATATGAACAAATGAAAAAAATTCATAAGTTTTGAAAGAAGCCCTATGGGGATAAATCCTTTAGGGCTTTTTAGCATGACACTATCCTCTATCAATGAGCACAATATCACTGCAAACGAAGTGTGACATCTGGGAAAGTTCCCTCTTTAGAGAAAAAACTCAGAACATGTGTTTTTTTCTGTTCTTGGATCTCGTTTTTTTATGTCATCGTTGGCACTATCTATGCATATCACATAGTATGCACTAGATAAGAAAAGTAAAAAACACATGTTTTTAAGTTTTTTCTCTAAGAGAAAATGTTTGTCATGTATTGTGCAATTCGTGTATATAAGAATCACACTCACAAAATTAATTTGCTGTCTCTTTGTAAGAGCAAGTTTTTCTTTTGTATCATACAACTGGGAATAAACCAAGTACAATCATTAAGGTATTTGAAATATTTCTATTAATTGGCTCACAATCACTTTAAAAGACAGTCCATTAGAGGATCGAGCATTGCCAAGAAGGTTCATACTCTCGGAATTTTGACCTATACTTTTTATTATTGGAAACGAAAGTCCATGGATAGAAACTACTAATTCCAAAGTTTCAGCGTTTATCTTCATACCTTCAAAAGTGATCAAGATAACATTGACCATGTCTCACAATACTACCAAAATGTCGGCCTTCTCATATATACAGGCAATCCAACATGATTGGAGGATTGGCCCAATTTGTCTGCTTAACCTGTCCCCGCCTTTCAATGAAGTAATACCATCAATGTTTGTTGATAGAAAGAAAAGATATTACAACAGATATCCCCTCGACTGAAGGGAGAATTTTACAAAATAAATGTGTTTGTATATAGATATGTTTGTATATTCGAACGCATATTATATACAAATACCTTTATGTAATGATCATAAAGGGTGGTTCAGAAGTCACTTTTCTATTAAATTTTTATTTATATTGACTTGTGTTTAAAAAATTTAATATTTAGCTCAAAAGATAGAGAATTTAATTCTCTAGGAAACTGTCCGTTTTGTTTTGAGATTATTTTCGAAATTTCAGCAGGATATTCACGATATTAAAATATTCTAATTTCTAAAACGGCACAGAATAAACTTAACTTCTTTAGCGAAACGTTGCTGATCGCTCAATTCAACGTGCAGATAATTATTTTAACGTTAAAAGATGCAGAATTTTATGTTGTACAATCTGACGCTATTTGTGTTAAATGATTACTCTTTTTTGCGAGAAGGAAAGCCCTAAACTGACTGACCTACGTAGAAAAAATCCATATTATCGGCTTTTTGCCCTCAAACTCAAAATTTAAAGTCATGGATTTTGATCTAAACATAGTTTATTTGATTCAGCAAAGCGGGCGGGCCCATTACATGTTGAGAACAGTCGAAAAGAAAAGTTGATTATCACATATACATACTAAAAGCATACGCTCACATAGAATCGTAGATGGAGAGAAATAGAGAAGAAAAAGAAAATAGAGACAGTGAAATAGAGAGAGTGTACAGAATAGAATAGAACAATAAAAAGAACATAAATTTTCTCTTACATAGGATAATACAAATATGAAATGGATACAATTTGAAAACATGAAGGTGTGTACATAGTTTGATACATTGAGAAACACTAAGTTCTAGTGCAAAAGGGGTTACGTCTGTAGGGGGTCTCATATTCATTTTGGTGGTGCAGAAGTTACAACACATGACGGGCGAAAACGATTTGTAGTTTTAATATAATATATAACCGAGTTAAAAATTATTTTTATTTTGTCCTTATCTAATTTCAACACAGATTTATCACGCCATAAAAAGTGATTGAAATTTATATTTTTGGTATCAAAAACTTCTTGAAAAACATTTCTCAATAGCGCACGTTGTGTATTATATAGAGGACATATTGCGAAAAAGTGTTCTACTGTTTCACTATTAGATCCACATGCACAACTCGTATCTGTTACTAAATTCCGCTTCAACAAGTCCTGCTTCAATTGACTAAAACCCACTGTACATCGCAAAAAAAATCGATTTCTGTCATTCTATCGATAGCAGAGGCAATTTTAATTTAGTGAAGTAGGGTTGTTTCATTTTACATTTGAAAGTGGCATAATTTTTTGATTCTTTTATTACATTTGATAAGCCATTCCACAGTTTAGAAGACGATGGAATAAAAGTCTGTTGTAGATATTCACTTCCTCTTCTTAATGTTGTTACTTGTTGTGTATTATGGCTTCTCAGAGTCATAATAGTAGTTTGTGTTGGAGGCGGAATAAGAGAATGTAAATCAGTTGCACCTTTTAAAATTTTATAAAATAAGCATAGATGATGAATAGCGAAAAAATCATATTTAATAGGTATAGGTGGAAATACGTCTTCTTTTTCTTGTTTGATAAAAAATGGTACCCAGCCTAATTCAGCACATACTTTTTCGTGTGAGCTACCTCTCATAGCTCCAGAAACGGCCAAACCTGCGCTATATTGAAGAGAATTTAATCTGCGAAGATTTGTATCTGTTGTTCCACAGTGGAGTATACTAGCATGATTAATACAACTTAAGGCAAATGCATTATAGACTAAATTTAGCGCTTGACGTGATAATTCGTGACTTAAAAATTTAATAGAACCAACTGTTCTTCCAGTTGAAGTTAATATATTGTCTATACGTGATGTCCAGTCAAGATCATGTCAAAGTGAGTCCTAAAAGTTTGTGCTGGTCTACGTAGTTTAAACAGATATTATTTATTGTTAAAGAAGGTATATTAGTATGGTTCGTGAGAATAACATTCCTAGACACTTGTTGATGTTTAACGGTAGAATCCAATCAGTTGACCACTTATGTACTAAAATTAGATCTTTATTCATTTCTGCCACCGCTGCGACCACATCCTTAGCATCTACATAGATGGAAACATCGTCAGCAAACAGGATGTATAAATTAGAGAGTGAATCTGGAAGGGCATTTATGTATATTAAAAATAGCAGAGGGCCGAGCACGCTGCCTTGTGGCACAGAACATGAAATCTCCAACTCTGATGACGTACTACCATCCACTACTGTCGCAGCTCTGCGGGCTTCTAAATAACTCTCAAACCATTTAAGTAAAGAGTCGTTTAGACCTGCGCTTCGAAGTTTCATTAATAAACCAGTATGATTAACTTTATCAAACGCTTTTGAAAAGTCTAGAAATGCTGCTAGAACTGGAGATTCTGAATTAAAAGACGTAGCAATATGATGAATAATTTTAATGAGTTGACTACCCTAGTGAATGTACTGAAGTGTGAGTACTCAAAGTCGTACTCTGCTGAAAATGTCCCCAGTACTCATGAGTACTCACACATTTTTTTACTCGTTTTTCTACTCGTTGATCTTTTTACTTCGTCATGAGTGAGTAACGAGTACTGTGGGTACGACTTTGAGTACTCATATAGCTTTTGACAAAATACTCATGAGTATTGGTCATCTGATATTTTCAAATCGTACAAGACTAACTCACTCTAGAATATTTGCCTACAGTTATGACAGTTACAGTTATCAGCAGTTTTACAGCTTTACGAGTACAGTTAACTGGTAAAAAACTGTAACTGGTGCATGCCTAACTATATTGCATATCTCTATAAGTAATGATTTGATTAATTTTTCACCTTGACTGAAAATAAAGTAGCCGTGAGGAATTCGAATGCTTTATTGTAACAAATCGGAAATACTATGTAAATTTTTGTTGTGAGTGCATAAATCTTAAGAGAGCGACTTTAGACTAGCTGACGCTCTAGATACAGATAGTCATATTCATCCCTCAAGTTGGCGGTGCGGTGGGACAGTGTTATTTTATAGAAATCATGCAGACGTTTGTTAGGTAGGTAGGATTGTATTCATAGACCTGCACACCTGTTTCTATGTTAAAGACTAATGAATTTGGTATAGAGATGTTTGAAAGTCTCATACGAACACACTTAAAGGTATAATTATTTATAAGAATATAACATTACAATGCTATAAACATAGCTTTACGGAGACACGTAGAAAGGTAGATGTATGTATGATATGAGATGTTTCAATAACACTATGAAACCCGTAAGTCCGCTTGGTCTTATGTGTCTTTTTCTGTTCGGATGATCGGGTACTTATGCGAAATCGTCATCTTTCGACAATTGAAGGAAAACGAACTGATAAAACACGGGTCGCCGAAAGAAAGAGTGTCGTATATCCTTGATGTTTGGCGCTACTCATGCTAGATATATCGGCTTGTCCAGGTAACGGCCTCCATTTTTTGCTCTTTTTCGAAAAGTTATTGCAATAAAGCTACAAACTAATCTAAAATGGCAACTAGATGATTAAGTAGATTAAACATTTCTCTACAAAATGAACAGTGTCTTGGCTCTGAACGTTGATTCGTTATGAAAACACAGCTGCTGTACAAACAGCCTCAAAAATCGATTTTTGGGCTATCTGAAAAGCGTGTCTAAAAGAGTGAAGACGAGCTGGTAAACATTGAACAAGTATACCAGTTTATAGAAAATTGTTCACTCTACAAGATGTGATAGCTGTTATGACCTGCCGTCCCAGCAGCTCATAAGATTCTGCTCTTGTACCATCCTTACGCAACTCTTGCTTCATCATGGGATTTTCCTATCTCTTTCTGTTCTTACGCAACACTAGTGTCATCCTGGGGTTTTCCTAACTCTTTCTGTTCTTGCGCAACTCTTGCAAAACTCTTGCTCAACTTGTATACTATATATAGCCGTTCACTTTCTTCAAATAAAGAGAGAGTGGGAGTTGAATCTCACAATTGGTGCACCAGCCGACCGGTCGTCTTTTCCATCACGACTCGGTACAGCCCGGGCGATGAATCTTTTCATTTGACCCCGAAGTTTGTCTCCGTCGTCCGATCAACATTCAACGGTCAACCCGTCAGTGTGGCGTCCCTGCCAAGAACACCGGCAACTAGCGTTACGTGGATGTCGCTACCCCACATTGATCTTCATCTCGGGAGGCCAATACGGGCGGGAGGCATCGATCGTCGACAAGGCAAATCAAGAGATAATAAAAAAGAAGAGCCGTGTGGCGTTGATGGGCTCCAGGTGTGGGAACTCGGGCCAGCATTATCGGCTACTCTTTGGACGCACACGGCCTGACATATAGTCATTTGATGTCAAATCGACAACTCATTTTACAAGCGACTCTCAACAGCTGTCCTCGAAGGTCGAGTCTCAACTGGAAGACAAGCTTGTGGCGTGGCAACACAAGTCTTAGTGTGGCACGGTTCTCTTAGACAACAATCATTTGTCGTTCAATAACGTGAACCATCCTTTCGATTTTTTTCTTCTTATTTTTGTTTTTTTGTATTCTCAGATCCTTAAATCTGTTACCGTGATCTCTCTATGTATTTCGTCCATTTTATACTGTTTTCTCCCTTTCTGATTTTTCGATGCGCGGGACGCGCATCTTTGTTGTCAGGGGGAGGTGTTACGACCTGCCGTCCCGGCAGCTCATAAGATTCTGCTCTTGTACCATCCTTACGCAACTCTTGCTTCATCATGGGATTTTCCTATCTCTTTCTGTTCTTACGCAACACTAGTGTCATCCTGGGGTTTTCCTAACTCTTTCTGTTCTTGCGCAACTCTTGCAAAACTCTTGCTCAACTTGTATACTATATATAGCCGTTCACTTTCTTCAAATAAAGAGAGAGTGGGAGTTGGATCTCACAATAGCTTGCAGAGGTGTGCGGGGCAAGGAGTTTTCATGCCCTGCGGGTCCCGTTTCGTGACTTCCGCTTCCTCGCCCGCCCCAGTGAACTACTTTTTTTAAGTAGCACCGTCCCGTCCGTGCCTCGTGGCGGTAGCCGCCCTAACTCGATCCGCCCGCCCGTTAATTTCGCGACAGGCCCCGCTCCGTCCCCGGGCTTTTATTAATCATTAATCATTGCCCCGAAACTTTTATTAATCACGAAAATTTGATTTTACTCGTCTGCTCTGCACCGGACATCAAGTTTTCTCAATAGAAAAATCGTTTGATTTTTGAGTCCGAAAAAAGGACTTAATTGTACAAAAACTTTTTAGAATAAATCTCCAAAAAGATATCAATGAATTGAGTTAGCCACAGAGAAATCCGATGATCATGATTGGCCTTTCTCATATTTGTATGAGTTTAATAGATTAGTTGATCTATTTGTTTATGCGCCCGTAGGGTCACAAGAAATATATGCTGCAAATTTTTCATTGACATGATGGCGATGACTTTCATCTATTACCTCAACAGTGACAAATAGAGTCTATCATACAGATAGTTTTGCAGTATTTGTTCTGTAATTTTACACAATTGTATTTTCTCCGGTTCCTCTTTTGCGAAGATCAGATAGCCTATGTATTCTACGTAGTTCACATCATCAACTGAGCCTTAAAGAAGTAGCGGCAAGCAATTGAGTAAGTTACCAATGAGCAGTTTTTAGTGAGATCGTTACATCTGAGGGTTCATCTGATAATAATTCATAACTTTGGATGTTGGATATTGATAAAGATGAGGACTATGTCAAATATCGATTCTAAGAATCAAATGAACTGTAATCACTTTCTCACGTATTGATCAGCGTTCAGTATGAAAAAAGATATGGAACAAATAAATCATGAGTCAAATCGCTTTCTATAGGTCAAAAATAAGGGACTAGCCATCAATATGCGTTGCTTCCTAGATGCATAAGAGAATCAAATCTCTTAATAGTTTTTCACGGTGCGAAACGGTCTCAAAGAAAAATTGTATACCCCGCCCGCCCCGTTCACTTCGTTCCCCGCCCGCCCGAGCCCCCGTATATTCCATTTCACTGCTTTACCCGCCCCGGATCGCCCGTGTATCGACATTACCCGTACCCCGCCCGAACCCGTGCAGATCTTGAAGATTCTTGCATCGCCCGCCCGTCGTCACGTGCCCACGTGGCCCCGCGGGTCGAAACCCGTGGACCGCACACTTTTGATAGCTTGTCAAGTTCGAAACTATTCTAATTAATCTGTATCAATCAAAGAAAAACGGTAACGCTGTGACAAAAATCTTCTGGTTTTTCTTTGATTGATACAGATTAATTAGAATGGTTTCGAACTTGACAAGCTATCACATCTTGCAGAGTGAACAATTTTCTGTATTTTCATAACGAATCAACGTTCAGAGCCAAGACACTGTTCATTTTGTAGAGAAATGTTTAATCTACTTAATCATCTAGTTGCCATTTTAGATTAGTTTGTAGCTTTATTGCAATAACTTTTCGAAAAAGAGCAAAAAATGGAGGCCGTTAGCTGGACAAGTTGATATACAGAATCAAGTGTAATATTTTTACGATTTAGGGGCAATAAATTTAGAATTGTAGATATCGATACAACAGCTAATTTAAATCGCGTTTTATTTTAAGTATCACATCTAAACACTTATGCATGCATCACACGTTAATCGTGCATTCAGTTAAGATATAGAACGGAGAATCGTGTGAAGTAATCGATCATTTATTCATCAGATTTGAAAATGCATCTTCTCGCTGTTTGCTCGTTTCTCAAGAGACCCAAGTCACTTGAGGCACTGAAAAACAGAGAAAACAGTTGAGAGGGGGAAGAGAAATTTAGAATTGTCGAAACGTGGAAATAAATAAAATAAAATGCGATTTAAATCAGCTGCTGTACTAATATCTACAATTCTAAATTTCTTGCCCCCAAATCGTAAAAATATTACACTTGATTCTGTACATATCTGGCATGATGAGCAGCGCCACGTGGACTTACGGATTTTATCAGATGTCTGTTGATTGAGGAACACAGCTCAGGATTCACAACTACGAAAAATGATTTTCTTTTCTTCAGATTAGTTTGAATGGATGGCTAATCGTCGCGATATTTTACAATGCTGACGCGACGAAAGAAAATTACTTTTCACTTTATCTCTGTCAGTTGCAGAAATCCAAACGAGAAAATGTTTTTATTTGGTTTACCTCTTCAGAAAAATGATGTAATGAAGGTAAACGATTCACTTGGAATTCTGTTAGAGGGTTAAGATTGGACAGATTTTCTATTGCTGTGATGCACCTTTTCCGCCAAAAAAAGGATAATCAAAATAAAATATCTGCTTTAACTAATAAATATTTTCCAGAGTTTTAATCTTTGTGAAAATGTTTCATTATAAAACCAATCAATGGCACAATAACGTTTTACGTCAATTTTGACCCATCTCTTCCCCCTCTCAACTGTGCGCCATCGCTATTTTCTAGTATGTTCGGCGTCTGAGAATCTGGAGAGACAGATACATATTCATTTTTTTGTGAATAATGCTGTCTTTTAGAAAAACATTCTTTTTATTTTAGATTTACCAAAGTCAACAAATATGGCGAGATGGCAAATTATAACACAACAGAGTGGAATCACGGAGGTCATGAAAACAAATGTATTAAGCGCAATAAGTACTGCGATTGATGTGCATGGAACATCTTCAATGTATAAAATCGCCGACAATGTTAAAGACTGGCTTGATGAAACTTATGGGAGAACTTGGACTGTAATAGTTGGTGAAGCAGGCAGATGGTCTTCTTCGTCGAATGTAGTTCAATCCAAATTTTTGGGGGTGAAAGAAACACAGTCGGGATGGATGATTGAGATTTACAGACACAAATCGCAGTAATAAAACGCCAGGATTCATCACACTGATTCAAGATCTTTATTAACATCTTTATTGTAAGGAAAATATAACATATGACAAACTCTTATTGTTTTACATCTATTGATGTTCATCGCAATAAAAAACTATTGGAGAGTTTTTGTCGACAGTATCCTAATTAATATAGGTCTAGAGTACATGAAAGCTTTTTGATATATTTAAAGTTGAAGAATGTCGAATTATTGAAAATGGGCTATAAGAACTATTGTATGAAATTCTAATGTGTTGAAATGCTTCTGTTTCAACATGTTTTCTCTACATGAACGAACGCAGAGAACGATAAATGAAGAAAACAACAAAGGAAGACCCAAAATGTAGAGACAAACGAACGAATGACCGAAGAGATGAGCAGAAGGCGAGACAAGGATTGAAGCGGGCGAGAGTAGAAGGGTGATCAGAAGATCAACAAGGAAGAGAAGGAGCAGTTGTAGGTCGACGAGGTAGTGGGAGGAGGAGGAGTAGAACGTATCGACGAGACGTTGCGAGACTTGTGCAATTAACGTAGTAGTGACGCGTTTCGAAAGCCTCTTCGGGCTGTAGGTTTTTCCTGTTGGGACCTATCTCTATATACTTTCTCTCTCATTTCTCAATGCTTGTTCCTACTATCTGACTTACCCTACCACACTCGACTATCTAATTGATGTTTTTTTTGCGTTCTGCACTAATTGCCTCATCTCGTCGATGGAACTCGATGGGGATGCTCGAAAGTGTGAGTGCCACGGAAATCTTGACGACTGACGAAAAACTAATACCATACATACAACTGTAGCTGACGAAAAGAAACGTTCATTAAAGGATGTTTGAATTTTCTATACTCGAATATGAAATATATTCGTGAAATGTATCTTCTGAAATCTTGTTTCTATCACAAAATAAAAACTCAGATGCAGATCATGATATTTTTAGCGTAAGAAAAGTGTAAGATTTATATTTATTAATTTTATCTTTAAGGGTATAAAGGGATAAAACATTTTTCATGTCTTTTTACTATTTGTTTTGCTGAGTAGCTCTTTTTTTGTCATCAGTTGAAAATGATTAAAAAACGTGAGTGAGTCTGAAGGAGATGACAGGAGAATTGAAAAAGATAGTATGTTCTCCTCGAGCTTGGAGTGATATATGATTGATACTGCAGTTAAATCAATTCGGTTTTGGTCTTGTAAGAAATTCATGTACTAATATCTTAAACGTGAATTCGACAAATATAAATCTGACACCTCCATTACTAAAAAAGTCGTTATCTGTGCTTGAGTTGGTACTTTATATCCTTTATTGTAGTTTTAGGCTACTGTGATGCATATTTGTCTATCAACTTAAAGGTGTAAACTTTATTTTTATTTTAGTTTAACAAAAGATATTCTTGTTTTTGACTAAAGAGATCTGTAGAGTAAAGATAGATCGATACACCTACATACGACGCAGCCAAAGAAGAGAAAGATATAATGTGCTGAGATACGATACGACAAAAAGCAAGGACATGCATATCATCCATTTGAGCCATACTTTTGAATGATCTCTAAAAGTCATACTGCAGTCATTCAAGCTTTATTTATTTTTTTGTCTCTTTATGTTAGGATTAACTGTTATACTATTCTGCATGCGACAAATTGTCTTCTGTTTAATCGAAAATGATCATAAAGGTCGAAAATTCGTCAGATATGTTGTGAATTAGAAACGCTCCACTCATCGTACAAGTTTTACTTAGGATATTACCCATAAATCCAGATAATATATACTGCATCCATCTCTCTACTGAAAGTGTATACAAGTAGAGCTGAAAACACAAGATTTTCGAAAACTCTCTGTGTATACTTTGTATGTACTGTTACGAAGTAACTGCTAGCGAACGCTCTGTTTTATAAGATCATTTATTTTTTCTGTCTCTTCACGTTTAAATCATATCATCTTATCTCTTTTTTGAATATCCATTATATTGGTTTGGCAGCTTTAGTTTACGGAGAAGATCATCACCGTTAGAATGGAAATCACACAAAATCATACGTGCTGCTAGCCTGTGCGTAGAAGCTAGCCTAGAATAGAAAGACGTAAACAAACTGTCGTAAACAATTGACCCATAGTCTATAGCACTCAT